TGTTGTTTTTTCACTGCTCTTATTTTGGCAAAAGGATGCTCTTTGATTCAAAAGAAACAAGCCATCCAGTAATAAACTCATCAGGCATATTTCCATGATGTAACAACGAAGAGATCCCTCGCCAGCATGCCTCCCAAGGTTGTATGAAAAGATTCATGACATGTTTACTTGTCCTGTGCTTACTCAGGATAAAAGATTTACCCGCTTGGATGCATCCAACTGATCATCTTCCTGCTGTGTCCAATCCACTTCCTCTAGCTCCACCACTCTCTTAAAAGTAACTGCTTTACCCACGTTGTAGTCCAAATTTTTACCAACATGAGAGGTGGCTGTCATGGGTAAATAAGAAGATTGGATGACTTTAGAGCAAAGGGTCAAACCACATGATCAGAGTAGATGTTTCTGTCTCCTGAAATCCCATCCAGCAGCTGGAAGCAACTGGGTTAAAGGCTACAGCCACAATTACTATGTATTACTTAGCATGCTGTCACAGTATCCTGCCAGAGATGTAAAAACAACTTGAGTATGTTCTGTGTCTGTTGAAGCTTTTTATTCAAACCTGAGACAGTGAGATGAGTTTTAATAAGTACAGGATAAGAAATGCTGAATCAAAGCTGAATCATTTTTTATGGTTCTGCTTTATAAGTAAAGGAAATCTTGCAAAGCTTTGGAAATGGTCAAATCATTATCACATAATTGAGCTTGAAAAGAGAGTGATACATTCAATGAACACTTAATTTCATCTGGTCATATAATTGAAAATACCGGATGTTCTCCAACTGTTTCTGATCATACTGCACCACATCTTCTCTGAGGGTATAAATACAAGACTCAGTTCAGACATGTTTTTTTTTTATATTTGAGATTACCAGAGTAAATCTGAAAGCAAAACTGTCATTTTTTTAATGGAAATTATTAATGCCTGCCCAAAACTACAGAAAGCAAATAATTCAGTCAACATCTCTGATATGGATTATGGGGATGTCATAATATATGCCCTCTCCTGCCTCAACTCTTGATGCACTTAATCATTCTGCCCCTAGGATCTTGACTTGTCATTTTACTATGAGAATGTTTGGAGGACAGAAGAGCATTTTATTTATTTACAAAGTACATCCCCTGGTAAGCTTTCTGGGTATCATACATATCTCACAAAAATATAAAGTGATTCCGCATTAGGTATTTTGGGAAAAATTTAAATCATCACACCATCTGATCATGTATGATACACATATTTTGTCTTGTCGTGCTTGCACTCAAAACATGAGAGGTCCAGCAAAAGCAGTTCTTGTGTTACAAGAATTTACAAGAATCCAACCAAATATGTCTGGATATACACTCACCAGCCACTTTATTAGGCACACCTGTTCAATTGCTTGTTAACACAAATAGCTAATCAGTCAATCACATGACAGCAGCTCAATGCATTTAGGCATCTAGACGTGGTGAAGACGACTTGCTGAAGTTCAAACCGAGCATCAGAATGGGGCAGAAAGGGGATTTAAGTGACTTTGAACGTGGCTGGTTGTTGGTGCCAGACGGGCTGGTCTGAGTATTTCAAAAACTGCTGAACTACTGGGATTTTTACGCACAACCATCTCTAGGGTTTATAGAGAATGGTCCAAAAAAGAGAAAATATCCAGTGAGTGGCAGTAGTCTGGACGAAATTGCCTTGTTGATGTCAGAGGTCAGAGGAGAATGTGCAGAGTAGTTCAAGATGATAGAAAGGCAACAGTCACTCAAATAACCACTCGTTAAAACCAAGGTATGCAGAATTCCATCTCTGAACGCACAACACGTCGACCTTGAAGCAGATGGGCTACAGCAGCAGAAGACCACACCGGGGGCCACTCCTGTCAGCTAAGAACAGGAAACTGAGGCTACAATTCACAGGCTCACCAAAATTGGACAATAGAAGATTGGAAAAAACGTTGCCTGGTCTGATGAGTCATAATTTCAGCTGTGACATTCAGATGGTAGGGTCAGAATTTGGCATAAACAACATGAAAGCATGGATCCATCCTGCCTTTTATCAACGGTTCAGGCTGGTGGTGGTGGTGTAATGGTGTGGGGGATATTTTCTTGGCACACTCTGGGCCCCTTAGTACCAATTGAGCATTGTTTAAACACCACGGCCTACCTGAGTATTGTTGCTGACCATGTCCATCCCTTTATGACCACAGTGTACCCATCTTTTGATGGCTACTTCCTGAAGGATAATGCACCATGTAACAAAGCTCACATCATCTTTAACTGGTTTCTTGAAGATGACAATGAGTTCACTGTAGTCCAGTGGCCTCCACAGTCACCAGATGGCAATCTAATAAAGCACCTTTAGGATGTGGTGGAACGTGAGATTCCCATCATGGACTTGCAGCTGACAAATCTGCTGCAACTGCGTGGTGCTATCATGTCAATATGGACTAAAATCTCTGAGGAATGTTTCCAACACCTTGTAGAATCTATGCTACGAAGAATTAAGGCAGTTCTGGGCAAAAGGGTGTCCAACCCGGTACTAGCAAGGTGCACCTAATAAAGTGGTCGGTGAATGTATATACCCCACTACAATCATGTGGCAGTACATCATTTTCAGGGCAATATTTTAAGAAAATATAATTGTTTGAATGCTTTATGTGACTACAATACAAAGTGACTTCAACCAATGTACATGAACAGCTTTACCTACTGTACCCATGCACCTGGTGCCTCTTCTGTCCTAGACGTACTGCATTTGACCTTTTTTTTAAAACATAGTCTCATATGCTCTGCTTCTGGAATAGACCATTCCATAAGCTCATGCCAACTAGTGAACAATTTGCAAGTAACAGTCATATGTTGAAGCGGCATTGATTTAGGACTATGTCAGGCTCCTTTTTGTGTCAAAGGCATCTGAAGAATGTACTCGTGATGCTGCAAGTACTATGATGGATCTCCCTTTTGTGAGATGACCAACAGGGAGATCAGGCCAATGTTGGTGTCACAGTGTAAATTTGACAATAACTCAGGCTCAATGATGTGTGTGGAGTGTGCATGCAAAATTAGGTTTGGGTTCAGCATCAGGGCGGGGTAGAAGATTGCTCAGCAACTTTGTTTATTCACAGGACCTCTATGAGTCATTGCACTAAGACGAACCTAACAGCAACATGTCATACCAAGACATTGCCCTAATCTCAACCTCTCACTTGATTCCTCTTCATTGTGTAGATTCCCAACTGTTGTTACTGTCTTCCAGTGTTGTCATTAACTTCCACATTCCTGAAGAGGGTGTCATATAACCAGTGAATTTTGCACTGAACTCAGTCACCTCAACTGGTCAAAGACTGCTAAATATGCAGGCAAAAGCTTGTTGCAACAGTTGAGTCTGGTGTTTGTTTTGAGCACTACTGTGGCTGTCATTCGTAGAAGCCATCTGCACTATTTGTTTGATTCTTGTGTAGGTGATAAAAAGAGGAAGGTGTTTGAGTGTTGTGGGTACCAGTCTGCAACAAAACTTTCAAAGTACGGTTTTCTGGTCTATGTCTATGTTTCTAGGAGGTGGTGTGGGTCATCCACTAACCAGAAGGTCAGTGGTTCGATCCTAGTATCCCCCATTCTGCATACCAAAGTGTCCTTGGGCAAGGCATTGAACCCCAAATTGCCCTGCATGGCTGTGCTGTCAGTGTCTGTGTGTTTGATTGTGGTGGTGCACATGAATCCACTCTATGAATGTATGGGTCAATGGCAAAACCTGATGGAAAGCTCTTTGAGTGGTCAGGAGGACAAGAAAAAGATTATATAAACACAGACCATTTTCTCAGGACTTAATGTTTTAGTCTGGATGGGCAGAAACAATGATTTTTAGAGAGGATAATGCAGACACCCACATTTGTTTCTTGATTGGGTCTAGTCAGTCATGGCGTATCCAGAGCATTTTCATTTTAAAATGACATGTCGCAATGAAAACGTATTTGTGTAGATGTAGCCTCATTTAGCCCTCAGTACCAGCGAGTGAGAGTGGTACAGTTTGCCACAGTTATTTAGTGCTTCACAGCCAAAACCAGGACCTCAGCAATGCAAATATTTGCCTGTTAAGCGTCAGAATGAAGGCCCAGAAATCCCCAGTGTTTGATACTATGTGGTCCTGTCGGAGGGAAAAAAGGTCAGGCCTAATTTACAGTGCCATATGGACATGTGATGTTCATTTATCTTGTTAGGATGACTGTTTGGTTTGTGGCTTTGAGTGAAGAGAGAGGCATGTGATGTTTAAATGAACGTATTGTGTAGCATCACTATTTCACTGAGGATTTCACTCATTTACTGTAAATCTGTCTCAAATCAGAGTAAATAGTTTAAATTCACAGAATATTGGCGAGAACAACATGTGCATTGCTATTCATAATGATGGAGTTTCAGAATAGATAGAAATAAAACAAGTGGTAGAGGAAAGAAAAAGTTTGCTAAGGCAGCAGAGAACAGATGTAGTTTTGGTCTGGACCAGTGGCAAGTGGATGAGATGATAGTTTTTCTATTAGTTTTATTCAGTGGTAGTTAAAGGGCGGAAGGGACGCATCCTTCTGCAATAATGTAAGGTCCGGGAATACCCAAATGCCCAAGAGGTAGAAACCTCTAATATCTATGTCTTTTACGGTTGGCCTTGCGTGCCAGCTTAAATCAGCCCTGCAGCTCATACCATTTTGTCATATGCATTTCACACACACGCACGCACGCACGCACGCACGCACGCACACACACACACACACACACACACACACACACACACACTAAAAGGAGGCAATATTTGAACCACTCTGTTAACACCCAGCTCTTTGCCACATACTACAGTTGCATACTACAGTTCCATTATTTAAGGTCTTATGTCTACAGTGCTCTACAACGAACACAAATGCATCTACAATATGCACAAACATGCAATTTGCAAATAATCCCACATTGATTTTCAGTCTCTCTTCTGTGAGTGTGACACTATAAAATAAACTTCAATTTTTTGTTTTGTTTTTCAGTCGGTGGTGAAAACTGGTCGTTTGCTCATCAGCCACGAGGCTCCAGTAACCGGAGGCTTTGCAGCTGAAATCAGCTCTACAGTGCAGGTGAGTGTGCCTATGTGTGCGTGTGTGTGAGAACACACCGTATTTGACAAGATTTTATTGAGCCTTGCAGCTCTCAGAGGCAGGAGGTGGTCTTCAAAGCTACAAGTCTTAATAGGTAGCAGTGTTCTTTTCAATAAAAGCCCCACTTTCTAATAAAGCTATAATAGCCTTTCACTAAATGCCCCTAAAGCAGCAGATGCTTTATGCTACCCCATAAGAAGCACTCCTATGTGCCAATTTGTTGTCAGCTGCAGTAATATTTGACAAGGTAGGACATTGGGGCTTACATGTTTGAGGTAGGATGTGATGCCCAGAAAAGACAATATTTGAATCCACTATTCCCCTTTTGTAACTTGTGAACAACTCAGCAGTTCCAAAACATTTTTTTGTATGCTTTGTATAAATGAAATATTAATCAAGTCGGGTAGGTTTTAGGAGGTATTGTGACACTAAAAACACTGACAATTCCAATTATGCTACAGACTGATGTAATTCATCCCAAAAATTACACTCCTCCTCTTCTCCACCAAATCTAAACACAGAGAGACATAATACAAACTCTGTTAGATTTGGTATGATTTTCCAAGGCCTTGGTTTCACTTAATTAGAGAAAAGATTTAGATCTTTTATTATAATCATCAGTTTTGTTAGTGTCTTGATCTGTGCATTCACAATTATGCAAACAGAAGTTGCTAATTCCCCATGTCCTTTCATGATCCAAACTGGCCGTTATGAAAACAAATATGCTAAAAAAAAAAGCAAGGCGGAAGGTGTAGCTGAGCACACTGAACTCACTTAACACATGGAAGTGCAATATCCCTGCTTACATCTGTGACAGCATTATTTAAATTTATACCATGATTATTCCAAATAAATGCAAGATGAACTCTAAAAGCATCGACTAACCCCATTCATATTAGTTTATTGATTTGCGTTAGTGCATGTTTTAACATTGTGTAGGCTAAGAATGTATCAACACACTTAGTGTCTATCTATAAAGCTGTACTGAGGGGGTTTAGTTTATCCAACTCAAGAGTGTTTAGACAGAAAGTCTAACTACGCATATAAGGTTTAAGAAATATTGCTTGTTGCCGGCAACAGCAGAGGCCTGGACACTGTAACTGAGATGTGCCAGAGAGAGCAGATGACAAATTCTGAGCTAAGTGTGTGATGCATGACTAAATGAAAAGTCCTGCTCCCCCCATCATCCTAATTACATCTATTTTTGCATGGTGAGATAATAATTTTCAGTGTGGGGGGTTTTCTCCATGTGAGACCCTCAGCAGTGAATTCCATTCGGCTCAATAAGCAACTTGTCTCAACAATGAGAACGTTCCCCTTTATCTGCCCCTCCTCAAAAGTCATGGGACTAATTGCATGCACTGTATGTGTTACCTGTTGCTGTTTCTACGTTAATGTGCATGAAATCAGACTAGAAGCAGTAAAATCAGACAACAGTCCTCTCCCCACTTACTGTCAGTCAGATGTTGCTCTCTCCCCCTGCCAGTGAGGACTGAAATGGGCCAGTGATTCATCCCGCTCAATTCAATGTTTTCACATTGTGTATGGGTGATGTAAGTTGTTGGTGTGTTCACTGATTGCTTTGATCTGCTGTTTTCACATGGCCTCAAGTAACTTGGATACACTTTTTGGAAAGAAACCTTTGGAATGGTTGCTGATCGTGTTTTAAAAGGATACAACATGACCCACAGGCCTTCCTTGTTAATATTCTCTTACAGTCAACACCACGTGCCATGATTTGCATGTGTTGGACTCATGAACAGAGATGGATACTAGCTCCAATGATTTCTAAGCTGTTACTCTGGTGTCATACCTCAGTGATCTTTGGATGGCTATTTCTAGGGATAGAAGCCACAGCAATAAACTTGGTAGAGCACATGCTTGTACCAAGGCCAAATAGTCCCTTTGAATGCAATAAAGCTGCACCAAATTTTACATACTTTTAGATATCAGTCCACAAAATACAAGTTTTTTCAGCAAGATCTAAGGATTATTCTCTGGACAATCTGAAAAACCGAAGACACTGACACATATTGCATCCTCCCACCAAGTTTTATGTTAATCTGTCCACTAGCTTTTGTGTAATCTTTTTTTACAGACAAACAATACAACCAAACAAACAAATGTACAGGGTGAAAACATCACTTTGTTGGTAGAGGTAATCATGTCCTTTGTAGAGTTTGACTGTGAACGTTTTTGGATGATTATCCAGTTTTACTCAAATTAACAACTCTATATCATTGGTCCTTTGAGATCTTTTTATGAGGTCTGGTTCACATCAGTAGCTGTTTGTTGAAAAGGATTGAGTGTGTTTTTACAAGCCATAGTCGTCAAGTTGTAAAATTAGCTCTTCCTCTGCTGAGGTGATGTGTTAAGTCCTATCAGCACTTAGAAAACTGCAAATGAGGACGTAAATGTGAGTTTTGTGCACAGATATGTTTTGCCCCAAACAACAAAAATGCAATGCATGTAAATAGACAGCAGAGAAGTGGATTATGCTGCTGTGATTTTAAAGGGTTTTGTGGTTGTTTTGATTGTTTTTTCTCACCATGAATCTGGGTCACCATTGGAATCCATTGTAACCACTGTGAATTCAAGCTGACAGAAGCCACCATAGCCTGCAAAAGAGCGAGCTAAAACAAAACCTAAAAGTATATTTTTTTACTGCTGCAGTGGATGAGTGGTTGATACTCAAGACTGTTTTCTGGAACATTGTTTTAATTCAGAATGAGGTCACGACCTAAGTGAATTAAATGCACAATAACTACAATAACCAGTAT